AGCATAATATTTCAGCATGTAAATTAATATTTTAGATAGCTCTTAAGTGCTAGTTAACTTTCTAGGTCTTTGGATCTTCCACAAGATTCCTTCTAAACAGTGAGGTAAACAATAAGACATAAAATACATTCTTCTTGGTGATAGGGAAAAGGTAAGATTTGGAAACAAATTAAGTACTGGATTATAGAATCATCCTACTGACACATTCTCTACAGTGGCCCCTGGAGCTGAGGATACAGCTCAGTGGCCGAGGAATTGCTCAGCATGGATAATGGCCTGACTTGGGTCCTTAGCACTTTTAAAAAAATAAAGTAGTTTCTGAAATTTTTATGAAAATAGACAAAGGAAAATTCCTCAAATTATTTTTTTTTGCCATGACATCTCCACTTTTGAATTTTAAAATCTGACTCTTTGATAATAATTTGAAACAATGCTTCAATTTGAGTTGTAAAGTTATATAAATGCTATTTGTAAAGTTATATAAATGACTAATTTGCATTTTCCAATGATTTTTATACATTTATTGATTATGAAATTCTTAGGATATGATGTTTTTTCAAAACTTTTAGATTTTTTTCATTGTCTTAAATGTTTATAGTTACAATGTGTGAAGATAGCTGGGTATATTTTTCCTTTGTGAACAAATTTTCCTGTTTTCTTTGCATTTGGATATTTAAATTTTTAAGTGATTTATTTCTCTTACAATTCAGAAGTTTTGTGGTTCAAGTTTTATGGCTCTCTTTTACTGTTTTACCATAAATTCAGTAAAGTTAGTTAAATGTACATTAACATTTGTAAATTAATTAGATAAGTTTTCTTCTGTCATATCTTTACTTTCTACTTCTGTTCCATACATTTCAATTTCTTATTCAGAAATCCATATCGACTCTCCATTTTAGGTCTAACTCTCAGGTCCTCTTTCATAATTTTCATCCCTTGTCCTCTACATTGTGTGATATCTTCTCAGTTCCTACATATCACTTCATTTTTCTGTATAATTATTGCTAGCATTTAGTATTCCCAGTATCTTTTAAAATGTGGGTTTAAATTTTCTTGTAATACATTTAGTTTTATGAAAATTCTTTTTTTCCTTATTTCTCTCCCTTTTCAAATCTCACTTTATTTCCTGTTACTTGTAGATAATGCTTCATGGAAGCTCATTCTTTTCTGCATTGTATTGTGCATAACAAACAGGTTCTATAAATGTTCTACTGAGTTTTAATAGAAATCAGTTTTGTAAACATACTCTTCTTCTGAGATTTCAATTGAGCAATTCTTTTCCTTTATTCCACAGCATTTTTTGATACCCCTTCTTTATAAATGATTAAATTGGGCACTTCATAAACTCTCAGAATGTAGGACAGGTGGATTGCCTTTAGATACTCTTTAATGAATCAATGACAATAAAATCTTAGATTTATGTCTAGAAAGGAAGATAAGGTGCCCATATGTGAATGTGATTTTTAGTGTCAAGTAGACATTCATTCTACTGAGAAGCCAGTTTTTCTTTTTCTTCCTGCCTGGTTCTTTGAAACCTTGAGAAGATAAAATAGACAATCTTCAAAAAGTCTTAGCCTCTTCTGGATCCAGGATATCTCTGTCACCATACTTGGAACTTTGCTGATGGAGAAAGAAGCAGCTAAGATGCAATAAGCAAGCAATCATCCTACTTGGTAGTTGCTGCCTATTTGCTTCTAATAGATGTTTCTGAATGCAGACAAGATAGTAGTTAGAAAGATGGAAGGGGTCTGAGAATCAACATTTAATTGCCCCAAATATCAACACGAGGGCATTCTCTTTGTTTGGTTGGTTTATTCTCTAGTTATAGACCTCACAGGAAGAACATGAGGAAACTACAAATGTCTTCCTGATCATGCTAGGTAAGATGGTAAGATGAAGTCTAATAATGTCTTACCTTCAGGGTAAGATGAAGACCAATAATGCCAAGAAAATGGGCACGCCTTTGCTGAGTGGAAGTTCTACCCAGATTCTAGCCTTAGTGTGTTTAAGACCTGATACCGTATTTTATCTTTTTAATATGTTCTTAAATATTTTGGGATATAGTTTGGAACAGCTACATCATATTAAATGTTACTCAAGATGTTTCCTTACTATAAACAGACTCTTAGAGGTGGTATGCTATACCAGATGAGAAATAACTCATATTATCTACCCATTCTTACCCATGTGAATTTTACCAAAAAAAACCCACCTCAATATTTCTGAGAAATATATTGGTTTGGGTTGAAAATTACATTGACCTTTTTTTTCCCCCTGCTTCTTTACTTATATCAGAAAGTTGCTGACTTTAAGTAATAATAATTTTATTTAGTTCAACTACCATTGCATCTTCCTATTCATGTATTATATGTCTATTTAGGCATTCATGCAGCAGACATTTATTTATCAAGCTGGGTTAAGCTGAATTATGACACTAATTGGTACTATTTATTGAGAAGCTTCTATAAGCTCCACAGAATAGCAGATATTTGCTATACTTTTTCTGTAGTCTTAGAATGAAGAAATATTTGCATTATCCTTATTTGTTCAGGAGGCCTAATAATTAAATCGAATAACATATATTTGAAACTTCGTTTGAAATCTTTCCACCCATTTCTTGGAGAGGCATAGGGAACATGAGTGGGGTTCACTGGGAGTCAATTGGATCATAGCAGCACAGAGAAAATAAAATACTTAGAGAAAGACAGAGCAGGCCACGACTTGCACTAACTTTAGTTCCTTTGGCCAATTACATTGCCCATCTGACCTGGCTCAGAGCCAGGTACAGATGTAAACTTTCCAACCAGTATCCAGACTCATGAAGGAATAGAAAATCGTAAATCAAGTGTCATCCTCTTTTAGACTGTATACATCTAACCTCTAAAAGAATTTACCAAGATAAACAGATTAATTTTGTCTCTGAAATATGAAGATATGGTGAATGTTTTTCATCTAAGAATTAAATATTATAGTTTTTTTTTTTTAAGTCCTCTAACTGAAATTGAAGAAGTACCAGCAATGGCCCAGATTCGCCCAGATTCTGAGACACACTATCATTTTGAAGCCTCAGGTCAGTTTTCTCTCAGCAGTGGTTGATAAGGCTGTTTGATACTGTTTGTGGAAAAGTGAGACAGACATGTACAATTGCATAAGAGAAATTCTAAGAATGTGAACTTCCAAAACTTGTAGAAGGGTATGGGTAATTACAGTGAGCTCCTGCATTTCTTTTACATACGAATAATTCTGTTTTGATGTCTATATCAGCAAGGAATTAGCAAATATTTTGAAAGATTCCAAAGTATTTAGAATACTATTGACAATATTTAATGTTTTATTTTGTCATATAATTTAAGCTGAGAGCAAATTGCTTTTATGGAGTGACTCAGAAGAAATGTATCAAGTGTGTTAAGAAAGTTTTGGGGTTTTTTGTTTTTTCTTTTTGGTTTTTGCTTTCATATAAACTGAAATAAAGCATTGTTTATTATAACAATATTTCTTTTGTTAGGCTTATTACCCACCTAAACTCACTGTAAATTAAAACTCATTTCCATTTTTTTCTAAAAGTATCTATTGTCCCTCTTTAAAAAAATACTACCCATAAAAGTGAAATAGTGAATTAGAACTGATATGGTTATTTAAGAGTTAAAGTAAATTGTATGAGGACATTGAAAATATTACGTATTTTTCCCACCTCTTGGAGGAACACAAGAATGAAGCATACTAATTTGTTTGGGAAATAGTTTTCTTTTAAAGTGATGAAAATTTTCTTTCCAATAAGTACAAAAAACATGATATTTATTGTGGTTTAAATTCCACTGAAAGTGATCTCTAATAAACTCTAAAAATAATCTTGGGACCTCCTCTTGGTTTATTCTTTCATCTCATTGAGATATTGAAAATTATACTATGTGGGTTCACTTTCTGCTCCCTTGGAATTAGGAAACTGTTTTGCCATTTCAACTGTAGAAGGGAAGTGCTAACACCATTCATTTCTTTAAGGATTATTCTTTCTTTCAATTTTTTCACAAAATGTTAAAGTTCTTTTAAAAAAACACTATTGTAAACTCCTCTACTCATATAAGGCTACATTTAGGGTTCTAAATTCAGTGATATTTTGAAAGCAGAGGCTATATTTTCCTCTAAAAGACATCCATACTATGACAAAATATTGAATGACTAGGCTATGTTCTTTGTAAGAACCTGGTTTGTTTTACATACTGAGATTCATAAGTCAAGCACTAGTTTGATGTAAGATAAATTTGTTTAATCAATTGTGACGACTTTTGTAAAAATCAGCATCGCTTTAGTATGTTCTTGTAAGTGGCAATAGTTATTTTTAGGCAATGCTCTGGTATATCTGATGTAGCAATAGAGCATTTTGGATTTATTTAGGGGGAAAGATTATAAATCAGACAAGATCTTACCAAATCTTAGATCAATTGCCCCATTAAACAGTCCCCTCCCTATGAATTTATATATGCACATATATGGGAATATGCATATTTGTGAATAATCTCAGAGAGAGGGGAAGAAGAAATTGAGAAATATCTCTCAGAGTCATTGGAGACTTTTTTTTTCTAGGCATTAAAAAGCCATTTAAAATAGTATTGAGAACCCGATGCTGCTAGGTTCAAAGTGTTCAATTTCAAAACCCTCAAAAAGACAATATTAACTCTTTTTCTTAAGCCACTAGGCCACATTTTTTTAAACAGTAAGAGTAATCTTGTTCCTGGAATTATTTAAGCTACATATTTTTTCAATCCTGGAAAACGAAAGAGAATCCTGGTCACTTTTGAGTGGGAAAATAGTCCACACTAAAGTCCAGATGAACTGGGTAAAATATGGACTCAAGACAGTGAATTGGGGCCACAAGGCTTTGCCAACTTGAAATGTGAGTTCCCTCAAACTTGGAGTTGGCCCGCTGGCCTAGGGCTTTTATTCAATATAACATTCAAATTCCTATAAAAACAGCTTATTCCCATCTTCACCTTAGTCCTTTGGAGGTTGAAAAAGAAAAAGAAAGGGATGAATGTAGCTATGAACTCTGTTCATCTTCAAACTAAGGATTCACCCTCCTTCCCCCATCAGTCTCTACCCCCTCCTCTGGCACCCTTTGTCCACTTTTATGAATTAAAACATGCACACACACTTGCACACACAGGGAATCCTGCCCATTAATTAAAGGACTTGTCAGCCCCAATCCTAGATTCTTACAGTGCAGGAAATGTCTCTCCTTTTAAGTGCAAAACCATAACATTACCATTTCCCCAAGTGCTCTCTGTTTTAGGCTGCTTTCCTAATTAGAGGGATGATAACAGCCCTGCTGATTGGCATTATAAAAGCACTAGTTTGGCTTCATCTGTCCCAGGTGTGCTGTGTAATTTTTTTCTTCTCACCGTTTCAGAGCACTACCTCTCTCCTTCATTGTTCCTTAAAGTTTTCATCTGAGGAATTAATACAGATAAAAAGACATTAGAAAAGAAGCGCCACTGCCAAAGCTCATCACCGAAACCTTTTATCAAAAGTACAAACTATACAAGTTAGAGAGATTTTTTTTTCTTTACCCTTTTGTTTCTGAGGGTTAATGG